CCGGGCCACGGGGTCGGCGTTCCGGGCACGCGGGAGGGGGGCCTGGGGTTTCGGGCAGGGTACCGGGCTCGCGCGAGGGTTCCTGCCGCGCGCCTGCGTTTCTGGGAGGGGTTCCGGGCTGGGGGCTGCAGGCCCACCCTCCCCGGGCCCGGAGACCAGGGCAGCGTCCGTGCGGGCTCCTGTGGGGCGCTCAGGGAGAAGCTCGGCCGCCCTTTCTCCCGCCTTTCCTCTGCCTAGTTCCCGCAGCAGCTCCGTGGGTGTCAGCGGGCAGCACGGGCGCAGGTGGGAAGTCAGGCCCAGGTGAACCACGGTGCCGGCGGTTTCTGGGAGGGAGATCGGGCCCCGGGGTTCCAGGTTCCTCCTGATTCACGGATCTTCTTGGACGAGGGAAGTGAACAACATCCCACAGGGCCTCCCCCGTGAGGACACTGGCTCGAAAGAGAGCTAAAGCTCCCTGTGCAGGGGAAGGGAGAAAAGGAGGCAGCGACATGCAGGCACTGTGGCACCCCCGGGGTCTTCCCTTCTGGCTTTCCCCGATGGGCGGCAGCCCCGCTGTGCTCCTGAGGGAGGCCTTTTCCCTTGGCCCCCTCACGTGTTGCGTGGCTGGGGGGCGTTTGCGCCTCAGTGGGCGATGAAACTCCGTCTGTGTCTGCAGACTACGCCGACAAGCCCCTGGAGAAGCCCCTGAAGCTGGTCCTCAAGGTCGGAGGAAGCGAAGTGACTGAGCTCTCAGGATCCGGCCACGACTCCAGTTACTATGATGACAGGTCAGACCATGAGCGAGAGAGACACAAAGAAAAGAAGAAGAAGAAGAAGAAGAAGTCCGAGAAGGAGAAGCATCTGGATGATGAGGAGAGGAGGAAGCGAAAGGTAATGGAGCAGCAGCCCGGGGACCCCAACCCGCCTGCGGGGAGCAGGTCCCAGGAAGCAGGCAGAGTGCACCTGCGTGGCGGAGGAGGGGTCCGTGGGGAGCAGAATGCAAACCGTTGAGGCCAATAGGCTCAGTTCCAGGACCCTGGTATGTGGTTCCTCTGCAGACCCTGCCCGGGTCTCTGTGAGGAGGGTCACCAAGGGGCGTCTCCATAGCTGCCTGGGTCTCTTGTGATGAGGGAGCCCAGTGTGAGGAGGGGCTTTCCCTTAGCTCTATCCTTCTGGAGAACTGAGGGGGGATTGGGTGGAGGTGTCTGGCTCCCACCTACTCCTGTCCCTCACTCCCTTGACTCTGCCTCCCAGGAAGAGAAGAAGCGGAAGCGAGAGCGGGAGCACTGCGACACGGAGGGAGAGGCTGACGACTTTGATCCCGGGAAGAAGGTGGAGGTGGAGCCGCCCCCAGATCGGCCCATCCGAGCCTGCCGGACACAGCCAGGCAAGGGTCGGCTTTTAGAGACTCCTGGTGTTCACTGCTCCTCGTTGTAAATTAGGGGTCGGCACCGTGTCCTCTTGCGTGGGGAGAAGCATGGGAGGGAGGAGGACTGGCATTTCCGGGGCCTCATTCCAGCTGTCCTCTGGATCTGAGGTTTCCTCTGGTGTCTTTGGATGTCTAGAGCAAGGCTTGGCTGGTGACTGCTGGTGCCATTGAGGTTTGTTTTTTAACTCGTTAGCTGTGGATGGTTTCTATGTTTTTTAAGGGCTTGTAAAAAGAAAGAAAAAGGCATATCCACAGAGATCAGTCATATGTGACCAGCAAAGCTTAGACTGTTTTTTTTCTGGCCTTTACGTAAAAAGTTTGCCAGCCCTGGGTCTAAAAGTTTGGTTTTGTCCGCACTTGGCACCAAACAGAACAGCGTCGAAAGAGTTGCCGCACAGGGTCAGACTGGCAAGAGAGATGCATGTCAGTGAAAACGCAGGTAGTCCCCTTGGAAGAAGGGACCTGGAGGCCCAAAGAGTGGGTCTGAAGCTGAAAGTGACCATAGGCTGAGGCAAAGGGAGTTGGAGACCTTCCGTAGAATTTCTGTGTTGGGCACCAGCTGCCAAGGATGGCATTTGGCTGGAATTTCCAGCCGATAAGGGCTTGCCCTCTGGCTTCTCCTTGTCTCCAACCTTAGTGTGCACGGCTCACAGTGATGAGGCATTTGTACCTAAGACAAGCGGTGTCTCTTCCAGGTGACTGTCAGCATCTAGTGGTTCCCGGATTGTGGGGAAACTGGGACAGTTGGGATTTGGGCCATGGGACCTCAGGGAGTGGTAGGCTAGTGCTGCAGTCGTTCAGAACATCAGAAACCATCTGAGCCCTGCTGACCCCACCAAAGGAAAGTTCCGGAATACTGCTGGTCTCTGAGTTTCTGTGGTCATTTTGCTCTTCAGGCATTTTCTTTTTTTAATTGATTTTTGACACAAGGTCTTGTTGCACAGGCTGGAGTGCAGTGTCATGATTCACTCCTGGGCTCAGATAACCCTGGGCTCAAGCGATCCTCCCACCTCAGCCTCCCACGTTGCTGGGACTACAGGCACACACCACCACGCCAGCCATTTAGTTAATTAGTTTTTGTGGAATGTCGAGCGCACCTCAAGTGAAATAATAATGGGTGAATACAGGATCGAGCTTTATGCTCGGAGCCTTCGTGCCATCCTTCACCCCTGCCCAGAGTAGTGCCAGGAGCTGAAAACATGGGTCAGGGATCACTACATCTGTTGATGTAAGGCCTACCGGGTGTCATAACGGGGTTTTCACCACTCCCGCGACATGCGGGTGCCCTTTCCCGCCCAGCTGAGCTTCGTGGGAGCCAAGGCTGAGTCGGATGTGTCTTTGTATCCCCAGTTCTCGCTGGAACTTAAAATGCTGTGAGACACCAAGCAGACAGATACTGTGAACTTGGAGCTCTCTATTGAAGGGATACCAAAGTCTTTGTATTCAATTTTTTTTTTCCTTAAATTGTCAGCCGAAAACGAGAGCACACCTATTCAGCAGCTCCTGGAGCACTTCCTCCGCCAGCTCCAGAGGTAAGCCTGGGTGTTTCTCAAGAGCTTGTGTCTGGCGGCTGGGGTGGCGCTGTCTTTATTTTCTGAGGTCTCATTCCGCACACCAGCCCTGTCAGCTGTGAGACAGACCCTGCACCTTCTCTTGGTGACTCCTGGTCCCCGTTGGGGTGGACAGGAAGAGTTCACAGACTCCCCAGTTGCTCACTCTGAAATCAGAGTAGGGTGAGGGAAGTCAAGGCAGAGCTGGGCCGATGGCAGCCGCCAGGACACGTTGGGGGGATTTTAATCATATCTGAAATACCTATCACAATGAATTGAAAGACCCTAGGAACTTTTTACTTTTAAGAAACAAAATTCGATCAGTTTAATCAAATTTTTAGATTGTAAGAGATTTTTTATCATTTAGAAATCTAGATTTTTCCACAAAGATGTCTTTGCTTTCAGAAAAGATCCCCATGGATTTTTTGCTTTTCCTGTCACGGATGCAATTGCTCCTGGATATTCAATGATAATAAAACATCCCATGGATTTTGGCACCATGAAAGACAAAATCGTAGCTAATGAATACAAGTCAGTTACGGAATTTAAGGTAAGTACTTTCATTGCCCGAAATAATTGTGGCCTAGTTCTGTGTATTTGTGTGTAGCGAAAACTTTGTTCACCTCAGGTCATTTGTAGTTTTTGAGCATTCGCCAGTGTTTCTGTGTTTGGGCGATGCTTTACAAATGTCACGTTAAGGAAACGATTGGTTGTGAGGATTCTCTCTGTGCTTTGGTCTAGAAATGAGAACTTGTTGCGGCGCTGGTAGAAGCCTGTCTTTTCTTTCTCAGTGTGCTGGCGTGAACAGGACATGTTGTCTCAAGCAGTGAGATGTCCTTTGTGGCATGGCTTGAGGCTAGACATTTTAAAAAACATACTTCTTGGCTGGGCGCAGTGGCTCACGCCTGTAATCCCAGCACTTTGGGAGGCCAAGGCGGGCAGATCACGAGGTCAAGAGATCGAGACCATGGTGAAACCCCGTCTCTACTAAAAAATACGAAAGTTAGCTGAGCGTGGTGGCATGTGCCTGTAGTCCCAGCTACTAGGAAGGCCGAGGCAGGAGAATTGCTTGAACCTGGGAGATGGAGGTTGCAGTGAGCCGAGATTGCGCCACTGCGCTCCAGCCTGGCGCCCAGCAACGGAGCGAGACTGTCTCAAAAAAAAAAAAAAAATGCTTCTTTTTAATTCTTTAGTCTTATAATAATTGAGCTTTTAATTTTTTTTAGTATAATAAGTTTTTCTGTCTCCTGAATACTTTGCTCTTAACTCTGTTTCTTTCTACGGCTGTGAAAGTTAGCATTGGTTTTGCAACCCGTGGGAAGAAAGCAAAATAGAAGCCTGATGAAATCGGCGTTAATGTAGTTTGGAAGGGCGTTAGTTTCTCTCTTAGGTTCCATTAGCTTTGGAAAAGCTTGACTTTTATATTTTTGTTATACATTGACTGAAGAGTTTGCTGACTCACGGAAACACAACAGAACAGACTGAAAGGAGAGTGGGAGAAAAGGAAACTTAGGAGAGAGTCGGGCAGTGCCCGAGGGCAGCTGTGGAGGGCTCCATGCCCTAAAGCCCCCTGTATTCCCAGCCGTGGGCCCCAGTCTCCTCATTCCTAGCAACAAAGTGAGCAGGGGAGCAGCGCTCACTCCGTGGAGTATTCTGAGTGAGGGTCTTCAGGGGAGGGGCTGTGCAGCCTCAGGCCGGGCCCTGGGGCTGCTGGCTCGGGCACCAGGACTTGGTGAGGTGCCAGGGGCACATTCCCATTAGGGCGCTGGCCTCCAGGGTGACTCTCCAGCCTGATATTGGTATTCACCTTTGAGAGGCCTGCGCTGAGGAAACTGGTTATCATAATAAAATACTGATGTTTCCATATTTTTTGCATAAATTATGAAATAAGGGTCTTCTTTTTAGGGACAAAGTCTTTTTCTAATAGTTTGAGGGAACTATTTGTAGACAAAATTTTAAATTGTGTTCCATGGAAAAATTCTAGAGCTAGAGTATATCACCGTGTCCCGCACCTGCCTTTATCCCTCGACTTTTACTTAAAAGAATAGGATTGTTGCTTCTTGTTCCTGCGCATGTTCTGGAGAAGTGCTGGAAGCACAGGCTGTGATGCTCCTTTCTCCTCGCACAGCGTTTGTGTGATGCTTAGAAAGTACTTACAGGCTTGGCCAGCTCTTCACTATAAAATTTTTCATGCAAGACCAACGAGCAACTAAGAAAATCTAAGTTCTTAGACATTGTTTTTAGATCAGAGAGCCAAGTTTGCGTTCTGTGAAATCGTCTCTTATGATAGTCATCTGGAACTTTGATGTTGTCTGTGTGGCATTTCAAACTCGGTCAGTCTTTCCTTTTTTCAGGCAGATTTCAAGCTGATGTGTGATAACGCGATGACGTACAATAGACCAGATACCGTGTACTACAAGTTGGCGAAGAAGATCCTTCACGCAGGCTTTAAGATGATGAGCAAAGTAAGAGACCCACTGGCAGCAGTGAGCTACGGAGAGCAGGGGCTCTGCCCTGCGAAGGCAGCCTCACAGTGAACACATGCTCATCCACTGCCGCCTTCATGGAGTTGCCCCCTTTGCTCTAGGGTAGACGTCCCCGGCCGTCCTCTCTGGCCGCCCTTTTTGCTCATGACCTAGCTGTAACGTCTCACTTAGGGTTGGTGGAAAGTTCCGCATCTCTTGATGTTAAGCCTGGGTGTCCATCTTGCTGGATCGCAGCCAGCCTTGTGGGCTTATTTTGCTTGGCTGCCTCACTGAATCCAGACGGGACATCCTTGTCTTCCTTGGCCATCCTGAGTGGCTTCCCAGATCTGTGCCGTGAGCCAGCTGCATGCGTCCCACATAGGTGAAGGTAAAGCTGAGGTGCAGCACCTGCCGCGCTGTGGCGGTGGGTCAGGCCCGCATCCGCCTCCCGCTGCTCTGCCATGGAAAGTTAGCTGTTAGGCCAGGTGAGGCTGTGGCCATCCCCATCCCATCCCATCGTCATGCGCCTGGCTGTGAGGGAGAGGTAAATCCCTGCTGCTCTGTCCTTTCTGGTTCCAGGAGCGGCTGTTAGCTTTGAAGCGCAGCATGTCGTTTATGCAGGACATGGATTTCTCTCAGCAGGCAGCTCTTCTGGGCAGCGAAGACACAGCTGTTGAGGAACCTGTTCCTGAGGTTGTACCTGTACAAGTAGAAACTGCCAAGAAATCCAAAAAGCCGAGTAGAGAAGTTCTCAGGTAAAGGCTCTTTGGAAGCTGCATTTGCCTGTTGGAGTTCAGCACCACCACCGGGAAAGCAGGTGCTTCGCGGGGGAGAGTGAGTGAGGGAACGACGTCGTGTCACGTGGATGGTCTTGGTGTAGCTTATCCTGGCAGGAGCATGGTCACACAGCCCTTCCCGCTCACCGGCCACGTGCACTCTCTGACCCGGGTGTGGTACCCCTCACCCCTCCGGACACCCTGCCCTGCATCTGCTGCTGACTGGTGGTTGCTGTCTCCACACAAGTGCTATTTAAGCTCATCGGCCCCTCCCTCCCCTGAACTGCGCCTGCTGGCAGCCGAGGCTGTGCCCTTGTCCCAGACTGTGCAGCACAGATGGGCCCACTTTGGGCAGCCAGCATTGGCAGGGGCTTCTTTCCTGCCCCGGGGCGGGTGCACACCCCTGAGCTGCTCGCTTCCGTGTCTGTGTAGATGCTTCTGTGTCTGTGGATGCTGGAGCGGCAGCTGCAGCCCTGGGGTCAGGAGGTGTGAATGCCGCAGCAGAAGCAGGTGAGGGCTGCAGGCCGCAGCATCCCAGAGCTCTGCTGCCGCCCGCAGGGAGCAGCTGACTCGGGTGGTCCTTCAGGGAACCTTCCTCCTTTTTCTCTAAAGTGCAGAGTGGTTTTCATGGGGCCTCTTTGTCTCATGATGGCTGAGCGTTGAGATCTCATTAAAGTCTCTATCATTCGTCATTCCTGTGGACGCTCCTCCACGTGCGTGAGGCGGCCTCCTGGTAATACCAGCCGAAGCGGGAGTATCACCAGCTGGCTTTCAGGCACTGAGAACACTTACCATAGCTTCCCGCCGGCCAGAGGCACCTGGCACAGAGCCTGCTGCATCACGAGATGTCGTGTGTGTGTTGTGTCACTTGTTGAGTGCAGGCCCCAGGGAATGGGTCCCGGGACATCACCCTCATGGCTGTGTGTCTGACAGCACTGTGGTTTGTGGTGGTCCCAGCATCTTGAGAGGACTGTGGCCTGCTGCCAGCTTGGGGACGGATCGGATTTGAAGGTTGGTTTCTGCTGAATCGTGTTGCTTGTACCGTCTTGTGGAAAGTCAGGGACCGTCTGGAGTTGGTGTTGAATGTCCTTGAGGAAATTCTGATGATCTCGGCCCTCTGCTGTCTGTTCCTTCCCAGAGAGTGTGTGGGACCCATGTGGATTGAACAGGTGGGGTGGCAGGGGTGCTGGGCTTGGTGCTGTCTGCTCTGGGCAGCTCCCGCCAGCAGTCAAGAGGGAGAGCGGTCTTGGGACCAGCCCCTCGGGTCCTGCAGCCTCGGCTGAGGAGATGGAGGGTGCTCTGTGTGGCCAGAGCGTGTTGCCTGGGAAGGGCTCACAGTCCCTGAGGTGGTCTCCCCACGTGCGGTGCGTTTCCCGCCCCGCTGCCTCGCGAACACTTACTGCGTGGTTGGCTGGTGGCGTGTCCGGCCTCAGCCCGCAACTCGAGTGTGCTGCTGGCCTTCAGGGTTGAGGGTTTCACGGCTGCCTGTCTCCTCGTGGCCGAGCATCGAGAGTGAATTGAAGTTGGTGTCGGTCCTGGCAGACCCACCCAGGTTGGGCTTGGGTGACCCTGGTGCTGCGGCTCCACGGTTGCCTGTGGATCCGGGCCCCTGAGCTGGGTCCCCAGCCATCAGTCTGCGGTCCGCAGGGCATGCTGAGCTCCGGCTCACCGTCGCCTAGGGCCACGGCAGCGTGTGTGGGGCAGGCTCGCGCAGCTGCCTGAGTGGACCCTCCCTGCGAGCTCACAGGGTCTCCAGGGTGTCGCTGTGGGTCAGGTGAGGGCAGGGCCATGCCCACTGGCAGGGCTTGTCCCAGGCCTGCACCTGGCCCTAGGCCATTCAGACCCACGCCCAGGCAAGTGCCCAGGGTGGGAAGGAGCCCACCCGCCTGCTTCTAGGACCTTCCACACTCCGTGGGTGCTGCAGCCTGTGCCCCTCAGCTGTTTGAGAACTGCTTCAGGTAGAACCCGGGGCCCCTGGCTGAAGTCCTTGTGTGTTCTTTGGCCACAGCAGAGGGGCCGCTCTCCACCCAGCCCCGCCCACCAGCCCCAACCTACTAGTTGCTGTGAGCCCTGAGTAGCCACGGGGGGGGGGCTTTGCGGGGCTTCGTGGTCACGTTTCTGATGGGGCCTTTAATGACTAACCTGTGGCTTATCTGTTACTTTGTTTCTCTTGTTGCTAAAGTGACTTTGGAAACAGGGAGCCTGGCTACTTGGCTTAGACTTGCTCTTTATTTTAATAAAAGCCTCTTGTTCTGTTATTTTGTTGAGGGTAGAAAGGAATGCTTTGAGACCTGAAAGGAGTTAAGTATGCTCTGCCCACTCTGTGTCCGAGGGCAGAGTTGGTAGAGGCCGGGTTAGGTGCTGACGTGTGGGGAGCAGGTGTGCGGTGGGGACTCTGCCTGCCCTGTGTCCGAGGGCAGAGTGGGTAGAGGCCGGGTTAGGTGCTGGCGTGTGGGAAGCAGGTGTGCG